GAGCCTTCGGGGCGCTCTTGGGGCCATCTTGGAGGAGATCGATCAGAGAAGAGGGGGTCCCCAATTAGCGCTGCCCCTCTAGAGTGCCTCGAGTCGCCTCTTGGACCCCCCCAAGAGGCCAAAATCCTTCCAACACCTAGGTAAAATCAATGTTTTGTGTTTTCTCGCCTTTTCGCTCTTGGAGCCGTCTTGGGTCATCTTGGACTCTCTTGGGGCCTCTTGGGGGTCTCTTGGCAACGTCTTGGAGGCTTCTTGGGGGCCTCTTGGGGTCTCTTGGGGCCCTCTTGAGGCGCTCTTGGGGCGCTCTTGGGAGCCTTCGGGGCGCTCTTTGGGCCATCCTGGAGGAGATCTATCAAAGAAGGGGGGGTTGCTTATTAGCCCCGCCCCTCCAGAGTGCCTCGAGTCGCCTCTTGGGCCCCCCCAAGATGCCAAAATCCTTCCAAAACCTAAGTAAAATCAATGTTTTGTGTTTTCTCGCCTGTTCGCTCTTGGAGCTGTCTTGGGCCATCTTGCACGCTCTGACACCTCGCGACTGGCCCCGTCCAGGTCAGCGGGGAGGGGTAAGGGGAGGGGTAAACCCCTCCCCGAAGGGGAAGAAGGGGGTTGGCAGAGGAAACTCCCTAGACCACCTACGCCCTAAAGGGCTGGTGGGATTCATCGTCTGGTCAGTGTAGTGATCGCCCGGGCTGGATGCGTTCACCACTTTAAGCCAAGTAGTGTCGCAGCTGGCCGCAGGAACATCGTTCCGTAATCCTCAAGGCTCCCTCCCTCCCTCTTATTTGCCCGCTTTCGGTACTCGGCGTCCAGATGCTCTGTGCTGATCACTCTCTGACCCCCTATCTCAACTGCAGTTTGAATCTCGACAGCGGCGGCCCCGACGTGGTGCCTTCGCGCTCGCCTCATGATAAAATTAATCGTCTGGTCAGTGTAGTGATCGCCCGGGCTATATATGTATATATGGGTTGATGTAAATATATACACATATATCCGTGGTCAAAGTTTGGTCTGATCCTCGGCAATCCGACGCAATTGCGCTCAATTTGGATTCATCGGGCTTGGTGCGACCTGGACACGCCAGCTATGAATGGCCGTTTCATCGGGCTGATTTGCTTTCAGGTAGACCTTCCAGCAGATGCCTCCTAAGGGGAGGTCTGCGTCTCGGCGTTCGGCCATCGTCGAGGAAAAACCGCTTGCATAAACACAAATTGTCAGAACTCGGTGCGGATTCCATGATCAGCGCTGGACCCCCCACTGGCGCGCCGAGCGCGCCGGGGCGGCGTCGGAGGCGCCGCCAGCTCCAGCGCCGATCCGAGAAATCCGCGCGGGGCTCCGAAAGTTTATGTTCATGCTGTTTGTGATTATTCTAGATCGGCGGCGCCCCGCGGCAAGGACCAGCTCGGCGCCGGCGTCGCGGATTGGTCGGGGCCGGCCGCTGCCCTCGGCGGCGGGCTGCGCGCAGGCCCGCTGGCCCCTGGGCTCGCGCTCGCGCGGTGAGACCAGCACTGGTTCCGACCAGCAGGAAGGGCGGGCAGTTTCGAGGTTCTGGGGTAGGGAAGGTTTTTCGCCTTTGTCGGTCTCAGGGGTGCGGTTTCGGGCCCCAGGACCCTCAGAGACGGATCCAGGGTGGAGAACTGCACCGCGCGGACTCGGGAGGAGTCCAGGGACCGAGCTTAGCTTCAGTCTTCTCATGGGCAACAGAGGGGGGCGATGGGCTCAGGAGGGGGGATCCATCGACCCCCAATCGATCAATCGCCGATAGGGGCTTGACAAACCAGCCCATGAGGGAACATGCCAGGACCTGCGTTGCCCAGTGCAGGCCGAACTCCACCTTCGGGGTTCTCATAACCAGAACCAGAACCAGGAGGAGGAGGAGGAGGAGGAGGAGGAGGAGGAGGAGGAGGAGGAGGAGGAGGTGGAGGAGCAGGAGGAGGAGGAGGCGGAGGAAGAGGAGGAGGGGGCAGTTGGCTCCTATCTCGTTGCCCCTCGCGCTCTTTGCCAGCCCTCGGATGCGGCGGGGAGGGCGGACGCGGGTCCGCCGATGCTGACGCTACGATTAAGTCGGGCGTGCCCCTCTACAGGAGGAGTATCTAAAAATAGCCAGGGGGCGAATTTCCGAGTATTTTTTATCATCGTTGGGCATGTTTCGGTTACTTTTCAGAAAGATAAAGACCAGCAAACACATCCTGCGTGTACATACGAAGTTGCTCTGTCACGTTGGGCTTCAGTCGGGCACGTCCCTCTACAGGAGAAATATTACAAGAAATAGTCTGGGGACGAGTTGTGGATTATCTTTGAATATTATTGTTGATTTTTTTAGAATATTTGTCGTCCAAATCCGAGGGTGACATGCGCGACCTAATGTTGGGCTGTTGCGAGGGTCTGTAGCCGAGAATGGACCCAGGGCCAGCGCCTGGGGTCGAGAGGCAAGGGGCGAGCACCACAAAGCTCCAGGAACATAAACTTTCGCGGCCCCCGCGGATTTCTTGGACCAGCGCTCGGGCCCCCCCTGACGGCGCCTCCAGCGCACCCCTGGCGAGACCCGCGAGGCAGGCCAGGCGGGGAGGGGGAGCAGCGCATGGAACAACATCCACGCGGACCTCCGGAAGTTTAGGATTCCATCGTTCTGCCCCTTCTCAATACGGCCATGTTGCACGTGCGGGGGGGGGCGATGACGAGCTATGACGAACGAACAGCAGGGCGCTCCAGAACTCAGCTGCACAAGAACGTTCAAAAGCAAATGTCAGAAGTCTCGGCTCCAAGCGGCTCCTCGTGACTCGTGCCGAGATCGGCACCTGATCGATTGTGCCACTGCGCGTGCGCCGCAAGGCCTACTGCCCCATGTCGGTCCGCTCGCCGGTCTCACGTCAGCCTGCTCAAGCACTCGACGGCAGTGATGATGATGATGATGATGATGATGATGATGATGATGATGATGATGATGATGATGATGATGATGATGATGATGATGATGATGATGATGATGTAACGGAGATGATAATGACGATGTGGAGGGAAGAGGGAGGAGGGAGAAGTGAAGAGGACGAGGAGGAGGAGGAGGAGGAGGACGAGGAGGAGGAGGAGGACGAGGACGAAGTAGGATGGATGCCTTGTGGACCTTCCCGATGTCGGCGCCGAACTTCACCGGATAGCGCCACCGCTCGCGCCTTTCAGTCTTTGCTGCCGCCCATCAGTGCACTCCCGAGGGTGTATATTCGCCAGTCCGGTCAGGGGGGTCTCTCGCCAACATGCTCGATCATTCGGAGGCAGTTGTTGATGGTCTAAAGGGTGAGGAGGAGGAGGAGGAGGAGGAGGAGGAGGAGGAGGAGGAGGAGGATGGAAGGAGGAGGTGAGGAGAGAGGAGGAGGATGATGAGACGCTGTCGATCAGAAAGCGCGCAAACGCAGGTTAGGAAGAGAGGGGAGGATGAGAGGAGGAGGAGGAGAGGAGGAGGAGGAGAGGAGGAGGAGGAGGCGGAAGAGAGGAGAGAGGAGGAGGAGGAGGGAGAGGAGAGGAGGAATGAGAAGGAGAGGAGGAGAGGAGGAGGAGGAGGGGAGGAGAGGAGGAGAGGAGGAGAGGAGAGAGGAGGAGGAGGAGGAGGAGGGGGGAGAGGAGGAGAGGAGAGGGAGGAGGGGAGGAGGATGAGGAGGAGGAGGAGTAGAGGAGAGAGAGGAGGAGAGAGGAGCAGGAGGAGGAGGAGGAGGGGGAGGAGGAGTAGGAGGGGGGGAGGAGGAGGAGAGGAGGAGGAATGAGAAGGGCCGGAGGAGGAGGAGGGGGGGGAATAGTAGGAGGGGAGGAGGAGGAGGAGGAGGAGGAGGAGGAGGAGGAGGAGGAGGAGGGGGGGGAGGAGGAGGAGGAGGAGGAGGAGTAGAGGAGGGGAGAGAGGAGGAGGAGGTGATATATGCGAAGTGGAGAGGATGAAGGGATGGAAGAGGAGGAGATGAGAAGGACCCAGTCCACCCGATGGTATCTCGCCAATGTGCGCGAGCATAGCGGGGAGGGGTGAATGGAGAGTGAGCGTATGGACGGATGGAGGCGGAGGAGGATTCTCCAGGTCACCCGATGGTATCTCGCCATTGCATTCGAGCGCTCGGAGAGGAGAAGGAGGAGGAAAACGACAAGCTGGTATGCGGCACGAGTGAGGGGGCAGATGTGGGTGGGAGGACACATGAAGGGGGGTGGGGGGGGGTAGGATGAGGAGGAGCAGGCTCGTCTCACAGTCCAGCGAATGGAGATACGGTGCTGCCGTGGAGTGAAGCAGCCACCGCCAGGCCGCGGGAGCGCCGCTTCGCCGGGAGCTTCGAGCCGCTGGGCTGTGGGAGGAGCCCGGCGCATCCATCCCAGATGGGCGACAAGGGCTCGCGCCTTTCTCCCTGCTCCCCATCTCCCTTGCGCTTTACGAGCGTCCAGCGCACCCACATAAGCGCCTCGCGGTCTGGGCTCCCGGGGGCGATCCCGTGGACACGCGGCCGCACGGGTACGTCCCCCTGCGGGGGATCTGCGACAACAGACGTCCCTTTTTCATGGGGTCGCGGCCCATCGGCCCCGCCCGCGAGTTTGTTATTTTGATACATTTATCACCCATGACCTCTCTCCCTTGTAGCTGGCACGACGGTCAAGAATAACGAACACCCCTAGCTTTAGAGGGGTACCCTTGAGAGGGTGCTCTTGTCACCCTCTGGACCATGTCGCGCGCTATGCTCACCCTCCCCCCAGGGCTCGTTTCGATTCCCTCGGTTCGATTCGATTCGACTGCGGTGGCTTCCCTTTCCGATTCGATTCGATTTTGGATTCCGATTTGGGCTCCGATTTCTTGCTGGAGGCGTAGTAGCCTATCGATTTCCGCCGGTTCGACTTCTCCCGACTCGGCTGCCGATTTCCGCCGATCCGATTCATCTCGGTAGCAGATCCGACTTATCGATTCGATTCTGGGCTGTCCTGTCCTCCCCCCTCCCACATAGTGCAATGCACCCCCACCCCAGTGCGTCCCCAGCACTGCCGCAGCGCGTGCGGCGCCACAGTCAGGGGAGCCGGACCACCGACACGTCGGGGTGGGCGTTACGTTATGCGTAAGTCGGACGTGTCCCTTTACAGGAGGAGTATTCCCAAACAGCCAAAACATAGTCTGGGGACGATGCTTTGGAAATTTGTGTTGCTTTTGTCGTGTATTTTTGTTTGACAGTTTTTGTTTTGTTCCAAATCCGCCTGCAGGGGGACATGCCCGACCTAACGTTATGCCTCCCCCCCGCCCCTTCGCCTCTCCCCTCATAGCGCTCGTTATCGCCGTTAACAAATGCAATCAAGCATCTGATGAAGAAGCCTCCTCTCGAAGAGTTGGTCTGGCGTTTCTGGATAAGCTTGCCGTAAAGCTGGCCCAGCTTCTCGACCACGTTCGCCTCTCCAGCGTCATCAACAAAAGTTGGCCAGTTGTCTTTAAGGAACTTCAGCTCAGCTGTCGGAGGTGTCTGACACATTTGTTTCCTTTTCTATGTATTCGCCTGTAGCTGATGTTCTTCGTGTTCTGGCTTCACTACGCTGCAGTGCTCTTCGTTTTTCGGTATCCCCTGTATCCATCCGCGGGGCTCGTGCTCTTGATCCGCGTTCTCGTTGCCATGATTCGACTGTATACCCCAGAATTCCCTGCCTTACAAATGCTCAAACCTTCGGAGTCCCTCCGATTTCGTCCCTGCTCCATGCCTCCTCCATTCGGTCCATTCCCCATCTCTCCTCATCGCTCCTCAGTGTATTTTCCGCATCCCTGCTGCCTCGTCCCCCACGCCACTCCGCCCTCCTGTCTGCTCCTCCTCCTGCTGCTGATAGATGGTATGTTGTTGTTACGCTGGTGGTATCTGCGTCCGCCTCCTCCAGATCCCCTAGTTTATTTTACGTCCATCACCCTTTCCCGTCTCCTCTTACATCGCTCGGACCCCGTCTTACATCCGACGACGTGCTTTTCAAGGTAGTTTTCCCTCCCTCCCTCCGGGGTAGCTCTCGCCACAGACCTATCTCTGATGGCCCGTCGCCCCAAGCGGGGCCCCGGCATACGCCTAATTAAATCCGAGGATGCAGCACCGGGAAAAACCAAGAAGACTCCTTCGGAGCCCTGGGACTGTTCCCCCCTTCTCGTCCCCCCTGGTCCCCGCTTCCGTTCCCGCCGCCGCTCTGGCGCAAGCCTTGGCCGCGGCAGGTCCGCGCGGGCAGCCGCTCCTGCTGGCCATGGCGCCCCGCGCGGGCCAGCCCCTGCGGCAGCTGCTGGCCGGCGCCGGCGCCGGCGCCGGGAGCTGCAGCGCGGCGCCGGCCCAGTCACGGCTCTCGCGCCAGCTGCGGGCGCACGCGGCGGGCCCGGGCCGGGGCCACGGCTCCCTGGACTCGAGCAGGGGATCGCCTCCAGAATTGCTCCACCCGGAGATTCTGTTTGACGTCGGATCTATAGAGACGCAGCCGTCGAAGTCTCATAGCTTAACCAAGGGTCTGCGCACGTTCCATGCATTTGACGACCAAAATCAAGTTTGGGGTAAGTGCCAATTCTGTTGTCGCTCCCTTACTCGATGGACGCGCGCGTGGGCGTGCTGCCGCGGTCCCGCAGCTCGCCCGCCTCCGCGTCGTCCCCGCCGCGCCCGCCGGCGGCGCAGCCGCCGCCAGCGGGCGGGCGGCGGCGCAGCAGCATCGACGGCCTGCCCCTGCCGGGACTGGGCCACGGCCCACGCTCGCGCAGCCCGCGCCGCGGCTCGCGCTCGCGCTCGCGCGCGGCCCGCGCTGGGGCGCCCGAGGTGGAGCACTCCGCCGGCGGGGCGGCGGGCGGCTGCGGCGGCTGCACGGCCCTCTTCTTCGTGGACAGGCCCCCGAGATCCTGGCGTCCCGCTTTTTTCGAGCTGGGCATTTTCGCTTTTTTTGGCGGCCCCGGGATCCGCACAGATCGATCTGGTTCGAAAAATGCGGCAGACTGATGGGGTCCAGGGCTCCGGGCGTAATGTTTTACGGTGAGGTACCCATACCGCTACCCTGCCCCGCGGTTCCCCCTTTTGGGCCTCCTGGGCGGCCCTCGTCGCCACCGCTGGATTCGCCCCGAAATTCCCGTCAGAACGCACCCCGGGAGAGGTCCCCGGGGGAGCAGCGGTATCGGTATACCTTCCGGTCTCCCCACAGGCTGTGGCACCGCACGCTGGCGCGCTGCGCGGCGTGCGCCCAGGGCCTGGCCGGCGGCTCCGCGGGCGCCCCGGGGAGCCATGCGCCGTGCGTCGTGGGCTTCCGGGCCTCGCAGGCCCTCCCGCGCGGGGGGGCCGAGGAGGTGCGCTGGGCGCACGCGGACCGAGGGTGCCTCCTGCGCCTGCGCCTCCCGCGGGTGGCGGCTGCTGACCGCGAGCGCGACGTGGTCTTCTCGCCGTCTGTGGCCCCGGGAGATCGCGAGGTCGTGTCGCGCCTCCTCGCCGAGGGCCCCGGCGGAGACGCGACGGAGTCTGCCGCGGATCGGGTGCCTTCGCCGGCGGCTGGCGAGGGCATCTCGGCAGGGCGCCTTGGACAGCAGCGCTGGCACCTGCAGCGCTGGAGCTACCGCCCCGCGGCTGCCCTGCGCTGGCGCAGCGCGGGCCCGGGCGTGGGGGGCCCCACCGCTGCCGATGCGCGCGGCGGCAGACCAGGCAGCGGCCTGGAGAAGCGGCGTCTGACGGAGGAGGACGTGGAGGGCATGCTCGGCGCCGCCGACGGAGCGCAGTCGTGCGTCATCTGCCTGCAGCCCTTCTCCGTGGGCGAGGCGGCCGTCTGGCTTCCGTGCGCCCACGTCTTCCACGCGGAGTGTGCCACGACGTGGCTGCAGCGCCGGGCCGTGTGCCCACTGGATCTCCTGCCGGTGCCGCTCTGACGGAAAAGGGCACAGCCGCTGTTGGTGCCGCATCGTCTCGAGGGGAAGACGGTGCCAGAAGTCGGGCGAAGAGAACTATGCACATGCACCGATCCTGGCAAGGCCCATTTTTGACCCAGGATCGGTGCATATGCCTTCCTGGCCAAGGTAGGTTAAACGATACTCAGCATCGTCTCGAGGGGAAGACGGTGCCAGAAGGGGATGCGGGGGCGGGGGCAGCAGACACGACGATTCGCGTGTTGTCGTGCCGATCTCCTCTTCTCCGCCAGCCTCCCCCTCCTGGGCGCGGCGGGGTTCGCCCTCCTTTCTTCGGGGCCCCCCAAACTGTGCGGTGCACACCCTGTGGGGAGTCAATGGGATTCGGCCGGCAGCACTGTTTTGGATCTCCGGCTCGCTTTCCGAAGACGACTCGGGCGACTGGGGCCGTCGAGGTTCCAGCACCGTGTGGTGACGGTCTTGCGGGGAGGTCGGTGGGGATCCCGAGGTCGCTGCACGGTCTGTCATCGCACCGACCCTGGTGGCTTCAGATCTGACGTTCTCGAAACATGCAACATCGCGAACAAAAATCGCGACCGGAGTCTTGGACCCCATCGTTGTGCGCCACTTTTCGAGCCGGATCGGTTCGCGCCGCGCGGCGACGGGGCCACGACGAGGATGCATCCGTTCCAGAGCGCTCGCAGATCGCTCGCAGAGCGCCCCGGAGCGCTCCGAGCAGGCCGCGGCGCCCGAGGCACCCTCCAGCACCTCCGGATCTCGGAGATTCTCGAGGTATCTTCACCCGATGTTGTCCTCGTCCTGGCTTCGTCTCAGGTCTGGCCTTAGGTCGGGCATGTCCCCCTACGGGCACATACCTCCAAAAAAGATCCCCAAAATAGCCCAGAAGCGATCCACAGATCGTCCCCGGGCAGTTCTTTTGCTATATTCGAATGTTCCTCATGTCTCGGGACATGCCCGGGATGATCTCGTGGCTTCGTCTCCAGGCCTGGCCCGCAGGGGTGCCTCTGCTCCGGGGGCGGCGGCGCGAGGGCGCGCGAGGGCGCGCGAGGCCCCGCCGCAGCGCGGCGCGTGTCGCGGCGCGGCGCGGCGGGGCTCTCGAAGGGCGAAGGGGCGGCAGGAGGGTCCAGGCGGGCCTGTCCCTCTACAGGAGTTGTACACTTGTTGTGGGACGATGCTCTGATTATTTTTGACTCTTTGGGAGTACGTTTTGGAAACTGCAGTTCTTCGTCCGAGATCCGCCTGCAAGGGGGCATGCCCGACCTGCCACGAGGGCGCGGCGTCGTTCTCATGGGGCGGTCGATGGGGGCAGGTCGTCGGCGGCTCCAGGATGGGGCCTGGAGGGGCGGGGCCCCGCACTGTCGGGCCGAGGTATTGGATGTCGAGGTCGGTTCGGGGAGGTGCCCCAATGCTCTTCGTGTCTGTTGGACGCTCTTGTGCATCCTGGGGGGAGTGCCCTCGTGTGTTCTGTGTGGTTCGGGGGGCGGAGGGTCTCATGATCTCGGAGGGTGTTCTTCTGGCCTGGGTTCGGCTGCAATTTAGGAGGAGGGGCCTCCAGCAATAGAAGTTCAACCCGGGATCCCTTGCTGTCTTCGGGGCCCAATCCCGCGGGGCCCCAGCTTGGAACCGCCGAGTTGGGAAGCAACTCCTGGGAGGCTGGATTTTGCATCCGCGCCCGTATGTCCTCTGTGGTCACCTAGCCTGATCCAGGGCTCAGTCTGGGGGCTCCGTCCCGATGAGACTGGCTAGATAGCCGGCCAGCGTCAATTCGCGAGAGCCAGGAGTTGCCACCGAAGCGGGTGAGGAGGAGGAGGAGGAGGAGGAGGAGGAGGAGGAGGAGGAGGAGGAGGAGGAGGAGGAGGAGGAGGAGGAGGAGGAGGAGAGGGGGTGGCCTCCCGAGAGGCTTGGAACGGGACGCGCAGCCGGCGTTGTTTGGTTGCTTTGTGTTGGAGGCATTTCGGCGGCATCACCAGAGGAAGCGAGTGCCCCTCCCCCACAATGTCTGTTGGCTCCAGGATTCAAGGCCCTTCCTCGAAGGATCCTCGTGGGTGGTATAGCTATTGTTGTCCAACACTTGAGACGATTTGTGGCTCAATACTTCGGTGCCCATGCGAACTACACCTGGCAGGGTAAATCCGTGACTGCACTTGCGAGTGGAATTGCTACAGATGTTGCTGTGTGTGCGTGTGTGTAGAATTTCGACTAAAATGCGATAAGGGGGATCGTCGACCTGGAGCGGTAGTCTAATTGCGAGAGGGATTGCGAGCATTCCAACTACACGGTGTCGAACGAAGACGTTGAATCATTCGCAGGTGTTTTTCCAGCGAGTTCTACGACATGTCGCCAAGGCTCGGCGACCTGGTGACAGATACCGGCTTTGAGAGTATTACCGCGCATGTGATTGGATGAATAGAAATCCATAATGTTTGGGGGGCCTCTTGCAGTCCAGTTCCAATTGGAGCGACTTGGGGGCCTCTTGGGCCGTCTGGAGGCCATCTTGGGCGTCGCGGAGCGATCTACGGGAGACTCGGTGTCCTCCTGGACCGTCTTGGGGGCTTTACAACGCCCTTCTGGCCCGCTTGGGGATCCTGTCTGCTTCTGGATCAGCCTCGCGGGGAGCCCCCCTCAGACAGCCCAAGAGCGCCTGGCCGCTGCTGGGGGCCGAACAGGCTGAAGGTGGCCTGGACGCCGCCTGTGTCGAGGGTCCTTTCGCGGTCCTCGACGCGGATGATCGTGCGGGGGGGCGTTTCTCGAGCCGCGTCCGGATGAGGCGACGAGGAGCAAGCGGTCTCTTGAGCCACGGTCTTGTCGCGGGTCTGCTGGTACCTCGGGGCCGCCCTGGGCCGGACCCAGAGTGGCCCTTTCCGTGGGCAGTGCTGCCAGCGGGCAGCCTGGGCTTCCTTCCAGGTCTCCGTTGGCTGTCGCCGTATCCGCTGTTGCTCAGCTCCTCCTGGAAGATTGCCCGGCCAGCACGACGCGCCAAGGCCTCTCTGTGGGCGCCCCCGGCCACGGTCTCGATGTGGGGGCCTGCCTGGGGGTCATGGTGGGCTATTGTTTTCCACCGCCACCACCACAGAGAGGAGGGGGAGGGGGCCCTCTTCTCTCCTCGTCTCCCTCCAGCTCCTTCCCCCCTCCAGCTCATGGTGGTGGTGGTGGAAAACAGGTCGGCCGCGCCTGTCGGCGGCGGCAGCCGCGGCGGCTCGTCGCCGTCGAAGCGCTGGGCGGCCGGACACTCGTCGCCGCCGCCGCCAGGAGGCACCAACGGGGCTTGAGAGGGGGCCGCCTCTCCCTCTGGGGGGCGGAGGCCCGGGCTCGGCGGCGCTGCCCCGGCGCAGCCTCGGATGGCGCGGAAGCCCGGGTCAGTGTTTTGATTGGCCTGTTTTCCACCACCACCACCACAAGCTGGAGGGGGAGGGGGTCCTCCTCCTCCTCTTCTTCGTCCTCCTTCTCCTCGTCCTCCTCCTCCCCCCTCCAACTTGTGGTGGTGGTGGTGGAAAACACGCCCATCATGTCTGCCATCGGTGCGGTGGCCATCTCGCCAGTGATGCTTCTGAGCAGGAGAGCGAAGAATGACATACGTGCACAAAAAAACAACTCGGAGGTCCGCGCGGATGTCTCGGATCCGCGCCGGGCCCCGCCCGGCGGCGCCTCCCGCGCCGCCCCTGGCGCGCTCCGCGCGCCAGGGCGAAGGGTCCAGCGTGGATCCAAGAAATCCGCGCGCAGTGCCAACAGTTTATGCTCATGTCGTGTTCTCTTCTTCTGTACCCTTGGTGTGGTGGCCATCTCGCCAGTGATGCTCTCCAAGGTGTGCCTGTCGGTCTCGTCCTGGTAGGAGTTTTAGCGCTGCAGGCACGCGTGGTGGCGCGGCTGGCGTCTGTAGCAATGGTCTGGGCGCCAGTTGTTGTGGCTCTGCTGGTCTCGGTGTAGCTCCAGTGCCTTCAGATGAAGCCCTGCAGGTTCGAAGCGCTGTTCAATAGCGTTGAGTCGGTCATGTTCTCTACAGGAGGAATTTGCAGAAACAGTTATGACAAGTATGGGGAAGATTTTCTATAATTGTTGATCATGTGTGTTGAATGTGTGTTGATTATGTTTGCATAGTTCTTCCAAACTCCGCCTGTAGGAGGACATGCCCGACCTGAGTGTAGCTCTGGCGCCGTCAGCTGAAGTCCTGAAGTTTCGAAGCACTGTTCAGTAGCAGGCGTATGTCCTCTAGCAGTGCAACAATCTTTTCCGCAGTGCGCAAGCCAGCCGTCGAGCGGCATCTCGCCGACAGGAGGGTCTTGGCTGGTTCCAGCCGGCGTTGGTCTCGTAGCCCCTGTGGTTCTTGGCATTGGCGGTGCTGGCGTGAGGCCTGCTGCGGCAGGTCGCGGGCTCCTCGTACGCCATGGCGCTGGCCAGCGGGCGCCGCGCGCCGCCCCCCCTCCCCCCCGCCCAGCGCAGGAGAGATTTCGCCTAGGCCTCTCCTCCTCCTTCCCCTCCCCTCCTCCTCCTCCTCCTCCTCCTCCTCCTCCTCCGCCGTCTCCGCTCGCGACGGCGTGACGACGAGGATGGCCACAGCAAAGGCGGCGGCAGCACGGCGGCGGCGACAGCGACGCGCAGGACAGTCGGGCCACCCGTGAGGCAGCTGCACGCGGCGGGATGCCGTCTTGCAGGCCAGCAGGCCTGCCCTGGTCTCCTGACGGGGAAGGGGAGGTCGCCGTCGTCGTTGTCGCAGGAAGAGGACGGCGACGACGACGAACACGGAAAGCTGGAGAAGGAGGAGGAGGATGTGATGGAGAGGAGGAGGAGGAGGAGGGGCTCTGTGAAGCTGCGCGACATCGCCGCTGCGGTCACTGCAAAGCTCATGCGGTGGCGACCGACCTCGTCGCTGCGGTCTGGGTGGAGCTCTGGGAGGTCGCCATCGTCGTTGTCGCCTCCCTCCCGCCTCCTTCCCAGACGTGCTCGCGTCGCGAAAACGTCGCGGCGGGCGGGTTTCGGTCAGTTGCGGCCGGGCCCTCGCCCGCCCTTGGGGCCATCAACAACCGCCCGGGAGGCAAAGCCGACCCTGGGGAATGGGCCCAGACTTCGGGGAACCTCGTATGGAGCGGGTCACGGCATCGGGTCTCTGGGTGGGTTGTTCTCCCCATTCCCGATTCTTGCGTACTGGGTCTTCGTCTTGGATCCGCAGCGCCTCAGGTCCCCACCCCTCATTCCCGCTCCTCCTCCTCTGTATTCCCAACACGTTTCCTGCCCCCCAGGGTGCTCCACCCATGGCCCCAGCGGTGGCGCCTCCGCGCCCATCCCGGCACACCCCTAAATTACACGCTTCCCGCACCGATGGAGCTCCACCGAGGGCCCCAGCGGGGTGCGTCCGCATGGCGTTCTTGCGCCCACTGCCCCACACCTCTCGCACGGTTCCTGCCCCCCCGGGGAGCTCCACCCATGGCCCCAGCGGGTGTCCGCATGCCGTCCCCGCGCTCATTGCGGCATACCCTGCGCGCGCTTCCTGCCTCCCAGGGAGCACCCCGCATGGCCGCAGTGGGTGCGTCTGCACAATGTCCCTGCGCCCATCTCGGCGTTTCCTGCTCCGCAGGGAGCTCCAACCATGGCCCCAGTGGGTGTGTTCGCATGACGTGCCCGCAACCATTTCGGCACGCCGCTCACACGTTTCTGGCCTCCCACGGGCTGCACCAGGGCCCCAGCGGTTGCGTCCACATGGCTTCCCCGCGCCCATGTCGGCACGCTCCTCACATGTTTTTTGCCCCTCCTGGGAGCCCCACCCACGGCCCCAATGGGTGCGTCCGCATGACGTCCCTGCGCCCATTGCGGCACACCTCGCACACGTTCCTTGCTCCCTGGGAGCCCAGGCCTGACAGGTGGGCCAGGGCTTGACCTAAACGCTGTTCTGCTGGACGTGGCTTTGCTTTGTTCTTCGTTTTGGCAGCCAGGTACAGGAAAACAGAAGGTACTAGAGCAAAACGAGCAACATAACGAACACATGACGAAACACACCGTTTAGATTCAGCCCTGGTGGGCTAGCCCGTGCGATCTCCCTCCCCATGCCGTTCCGTAAAAGCTGGCCCCCGAAGCCCTCGATTTCTCCCGCCCAGGCAGAGAGAGTTTCGGAGTCAGCACAACCAGGGCCCATGCCAAGAAACACCCTGCCTGCCTCCCAGGGTTCCCTGGGTCTCTTGGATTTTGTAATGGCTTGCTATGGGCAGCGCGACGCTCCCGCACCAGGAGTCAGTGGACGTCCTGGGGTCTCAGGGCTGGGTTTCTTGTGGAAGGGTTTTTTGGTCGGGCCTCCACTGGCCACCTGGCGGGTAGAAGGCGAGGGCAGTCAGCCACGCGCGGTCTCCGGAGGGACTCTTCCGCGGCTGCAGCGGAAGAAGGAGGACGAACAGCGGGAGGAAGTCGACGGCATCGAACGAATATGAGGCAAACAGGAAGAGGAGGAGGAGGAGGAGGAGGAGGAGGAGGAGGTGTTAACATGTGAGCATTCAGGTGACTGGGGAGTGAAGGTGTCCCCGTTACCGTTTGGCTCAAGTATTTAACGGCTGAAGCTACCGAGACTTGCTTCGCCGTGCTGGGGTAAAAAAGGTGACCGATCGTCATCGCTGTCACCGAGCTCCCGTGCAGAACCCTCCTCGGGGTTGTGCATGGTAGCGGAGCGCGGTTGCCATGGCGGCGGCGGCCGCTGCAGCTAGGCCCGCGCAGGGCGACCCGCCGGTCAACCTTAACGTGCAGGCGGACAGAGATGCATGGGTCAACATGGACCCTAACCGCTTCAACGACCTGTGCGAGCAGGCGTACCTGAACGGGGCTTCAGTTACGTTCAGACGGCGTTACTTGCAAATCATTATGGACTTGCGACGTTCATTAACGAGCGAGTAACACAGGACCGAAGGGAAGTATCGAACGTTGAGGCATTTCAAATGTTACAGAGCGCTCAGAAGACCAACAGCGTGTTGTTAGCGATGACGAAGAGAAACGCTGCGCTTGAAAGGGATGCTCGCAGATTGGTAGAAAGAGTTACCGAGTTGGAGACCAACAGCGAAGTACAAGAGAAGTTAATTGAAAAGTTTGGTCAACTTTCGGAAGCAATCAAAGGCGGAAGCGGAAGTAAGCACGGGAGCGGTAAACCGATAAGCGACTACAAAGCATTACAGGCGTTAAAGATTTTCAGTGGAGAAAGAGCAAAGTTCAGAGACTGGAGCGACAAGTTCTTAAACGCGCTTGCCCAAGTAAAACCGAGTTACCGACCGGCACTGAGAATGTTGAACAAGAAGTTGGAGACACTTGACGGAGTTGTCCCAGAGGAAGATGATGATGATATCATGCGCATAATGAACGGTCGGTTAACAGCAAGCGAATACTTGAAGGCAAACCAAGCTAAACAAGACAAGCAGAGGGTGACAAAGGAGATTATGAGTTTACCGAGGGAGACAAAACTCAAATGGAGGAAGACTTATGGTACATCCTTAACGAAAAGCTTTAAGGTGCAGAAGCAAGGGGAAACTTACAGGGACTCATGGATGGTGACGGAATTATGGCTTGGCAAAAGGTTTACAAATGGTACTCGGCTGTTACCGGAGCGACCCTTTCCTCAAAGATGACGCACGCTATGAACCCTGAGCCGCCCAAGAACATTACCGATACCGTTACCCGACTTGAGGAGTGGAGCGCGTTAGCGGAGAATCTTGAAAAGTATGGCAAAGATTACTCACTGCCCCTCCCCTTAAAGGTTACCGCGCTCAGGGCAATAATGGCGCATGCGAATGATTGGTTTGACGAGTGGCAGCAGGCGTGTTGGCGAACGCCTGACGCACTTAACATTGATTCGTTCCAAAAGCTATATTCCAAGTGTGCAGATTGGGCGCGTAAAAAGAAACTGGACTCAGACGCCAAAAATAAAGGTGCGATGGACATTGGAAATATTCGCGAGATGAGTCAAGGGTCCGAAAATGTTTGGGATCAGACAGGATGGGTTGACGAAGATGGAAACTGGTGGCCAGAGGGCGGATCTTGGAGTTACGGGTCCTGGGCTAATGAAAGTGAAGCTGGAGATCATGAGGAAGTCGACGCCGTAAACAAGGGTAAAGGCAAAGGCTCAGGCCCCAAATGTTACAATTGCGGAGGCATGGGTCATTTAGCCAGGAATTGCACAAAGCCTAAACAGTTCACGAAAGGAGGCAAAGGTGGCAAAGGCGGCAAAGGCAAAGGTTACCGTGCCACCTATGGATCTTACATGAAAGGTAAGATTGGAGGTAAACAAGGCGGTAAAGGTGGCGGCTCGTGGGGTGGAAGTCACGGTGGCCAAGGGAGATTTACCCCCCACAGCGAGCGTGAGTGTTACAAGTGTGGCGCTAAAGGGCGCATTGCCGTTACTTGCCCAGGTCCCAAGAAGACCGCCAACGAAGTTGAGCAAGAGAGGCCAAGGGTAAACGCGGAAAGTGAACAAACCACCTCGTTTGGCCAACCGCAGCATGTGCTCAGTGTTGAGATGAATGATGAAGTGAACGTGCCACCGGAACCGCCCACTGCTGAGGAGATTAACGGACAATGGGCGCTGCCCTCACATTCCAGAAAGAAAATGGCGCGTAAAATCGCAGTGGACCTGAGAAAAGCTTACCAGGAGCATCAGTGTAACGGGAACTGCAATCATGTAAATCAGTGGGGCCAGGGGATAAGTAAAAGCATAAAGCAGGAAAAGAGTTGGGTGGAGAAATGTGGAGAAATTGGGCTAATCGAATTGCGAGACTGTGACCCAGAAATTAACGCGGTGCCACCTCAGAATACAACGCACGAAACAATGGTGGTTACCGTGGACTCTGGAGCGCACAACACGGTGGGACCCCCAAGAATAGGCACCTACTTCCCCATTAAACAGACAGATGCGTCAAAGCAGGGAAGACACTACAGCGCGGCAAACGGAACGACGATAAAGAATTACGGGCAGCGAGTAGTAACCGGCAAGAATGAACATGGAAACTCAGTCAGAATGCCAATTCAAGTGGCGGAAGTCAACACAGTTCTGGGATCTGTCAGAGAGGTGGTAAACGCTGGAAACAGAGTTGTATTCGACAAGGACCTTAACGGGAAATCCCTGAGTCATATTATGAATAAGGCCACGGGTACATGTACGACCATCCACGAGAAGAATGGCACGTTCCAGTTTAACATCGCGGTGCCGAAGGGACCGGTGGAGGCTGTCAAGCCCAAGAGTGAAGTAAACGCAGCTGAGGGTTTTCCGCGGCCGGGAACCCTCGAGGCGGACCTGTTCTATTAAGCCCCTCATTACCCGTGAGACCAAGCGAAAACTTAAACGTCTTTAACACCGAAGAAGGCGAAGGGAGTGAAAGTGGGGGCAGCGAAAGTGAGTTGAGTGACGTAGAAGACGTGTTTGTGAGTGACGAAGCAGAGTTACCGAAGAAAGTTCACTGCGCCATGAGACCGTCAAAGGAGGAAGTTGAGGCGCACAATGCAACGCATTTACCTTACCGAAGTTGGTGCCCACATTGCGTTAGGGGCAAGGCGCGTAGGCGCAATCACAGGAGACGTAAAAGGAAAAGGAACGGAGGTGTACCAGTAATTTCAATGGATTACATGTGGCTTAAAGGAGGAAAGGAAGAAGGCGAAAGTGCGAGCAATGGTAACCCAATTCTGGTCATGCATTGCAGG